ACGCGCATGATCAGAGGTCAGGAAAACAGACTTTATGATGAGAGGCTGAAAGCCATGGGACTCTTCAGCCTGGAAAAGTGCAGGCTCAGGAGTGATCTGGTGGCCACCTATAAGTTTATCAGGGGTGCTCATCAGGATCTGGGGGAACGTCTGTTCACCAGAGCACCCCAAGGGATGACAAGATCGAACGGTCACAAACTGCTGCGACCAATTCAGGCTGGACATAAGAAAGAACTTCTTTAGCGTCTGAGCCCCCAATGTTTGAAATAGACTGCCGCCAGAGGCGGTTCAAGCACCCACTTTGAACACCTTCAGGACACATTTGGATGCTTATCTTGCTGGGATCCTATAATCCCTGCTGACTTCCTGCCCCTGGGCAGGGGGCTGGACTCAATGATCCTCCAGGGTCCCTTCCAGCCCAAATGTCTATGAAATCTATGAAATAATTGTTGATATTTCATAGACATTAGGGCTGGAAGGGACCTTGTGAGATCATTAGGTCCAGTCCCCTGCCCAAGGGGCAGCATTCAGATGGGGTCAGACCACCCCAGCAAAATAAGCATTCAGTCGACTCTTAAAGGTATTGAGAGCAGGTGCTTGCACCACTTCTGGGGGAAGTCTATTCCAGACTCTGGAGACTCAAATGGTAAAGAAGTTTTTCCTTATGTCCTGTCTAAAATGGTCTTCCAGCAGCTTGTGACCATTAGACTCTGTCTTCCATTGGGGTGCCCTGGTGAACAGACGTTCTCCCAATTCCTACTGCACACCCCTTATATACTTATAGGTTTCCACCAAGTCACCCTTGAGCCTTTGCTTCTCCAGCCTGAAGAGTCCCATGCCTCTCAGCCTCTTCTCATGAGGCCTGTTCTCTTGACCTCTAATCTTGTGCATGGTTCTTCTCTGGACTCTCTCAAGCTTCTCCACGTCCTTTCTGAAGTGTGGAGCCCAGGATTGGATGCAGTATTCCAGCTGCACCCTCACCAAGGCTGAGTAAAGTGGGAAGATGACTTCTTGGGTCTTGCTTGAGATGTGTCGGTAGATGCAAACCAGAGTTTTATTTGCTTTGCGAGTTGCGGCATCGCATTGGTGGCTCATATTCATCTTGTGATCAATCATGACCCCCAAATATCTTTCAATCATGGTGCTAGTGAGTGTAACACTGCCTAGCCTATAAATATGATGTGAATGTTGCCTTCCATTAGCCTGTTGTTGATGGTTTCTTTGATGATTTTTCCAAAATCTTTCTAGGGATTGAGGTCAAACTGATTGACCTGAACTTCCCTGTATCTTCCTTCTTTCCTTTCTTGAAGATAGGTACCAGATTGGCCCTCTTCCAACTTCAGGAACCTCTGAGTGCCACGAGTTCTCAAATATCCTTACCATTGGTCATGCTATGATGTCAGCCAACTCTTTTAGCACTCTTGGGTGAATTCCATCCGGGCCAGCTGACTTGTGTCCAGCCTCTCAAGCAGTTCCCTCACAAGATCTTCACCAGTTATAGGCATATGATTGCCTTTACCCTGGAAGTCCTACGTCCTGTCAGAAAGGGTGATCCCCTTAGGCTGGTGGAAACTGACACAAAGTAATTGCTGAGGAGATTAGCTTTCTCCTGGGCATTGGTTGTCAGTTGCCCCATTTGGTTCAGCAAGGGTCTGATGGCAAGGGTCTGATGTTGCTCTAGTTTTTCTTCCAACTTCCCAGGTATTTGAAGAAGAATGTTTTATTGTCCTTGATTTCCATAGTCAGTTTGAGTTTGGTTTCAGCCATGGCTTTTCTGGTCCACTCCCTATAGGTGCAGGCCAGTGCTGCATAACCCTCCTTAGTGGTAGTTCTTGACTTCCATCTCTTATAAGCTTCTCTTTTCAGATTCAGGAGGTCCATGAGTACCCTACTGAGTCAAGGGGGTCTTGCAGCCCTTTTGCTATGGGCTGTAATGGACTTCCCTAGTGCTTTTAGGATCACACCCTTAAGGAGAGACCATATTTTATAGAGGGGCACCAATATATCAGTGCCATGTCAGATCAGCACTGATAAAAGGAACATTAACATTATCACCTATCAACCTTTTTTGGCTGGTGTAGCCTATAATGTACCAATAAACAAAATATGCCTTCAGGCTGGGGCCCTGGACACTACGTGCATGTACACAGTGGCAGCATGGTCATGGCCAGGAACACAGCCAAGCAGTGTGGAGAATAGCACCCTGAAGGTAAGTCCGTGGAGGGGAAGGGGCATGGGGGAGGAAAGGGGGCAAATTGAGACCTCCACCATGAGGGAGAGAGAGGGGCAGGGGCTGAAGTTGGGGGCGCTGTTCAGCCAGGGTGCTGAATAGGACCCCAGGGCCTGAGCAGACATTGGGATGGAGCCATGGGTGCCTTGTCCAGGGGGAACAGGTGGGGGTAAGGAGTGGGGACAGTTCCCTGCTGCTGTGTGCACCACTGGGGAAAGTGGGGGGGGGGCATGTGCCCCCCCAGATTTGTGTGCTGGGTGGAGGCGAACTGTCCACTGTGGGCTTGTGGCTTTCTGCCCTGCTGCCTTTGCCCCAGGAGCTATGCACTAGCCATGCATTCCCTAACCATTAAGCAGCAGTGGGGGTGGTGAACTGCACCTCCCACCACTGGGCAGGTGAGGGACATGAAGCAGCCAGTTCACAGCTACCAGAACAAAGGCAGCAGTGTGTAAAGCCCTAAGCCTACAGCAGGTAGTCAATATTTGCCCTTGCCCCTCTCAGTTCTGCTCCTAAAACATCCCGGTGTTTAAAAATAGTGGCAGTGGCACGAAGTAAATCTCATTTGATGAGCTTTAGTTCAAGTGCCCCTACTGCCTTTTCTAAACACTGGAACACTGATCCTCTGGACGAGCTGCCCACAATTCTCTCCCACTCCTTGCCCCAGAACCAGGGTTCCATTCACTGCCCTGGTTGGGCAGCACCCCCAGCCCCAACTCCCGCCCCTGCCCCACTCCTTCGCTCACTGTGGGGGATCTCAATCTGCACTTCCACTCCCCTTCCCTCCCCAACGCCCTTTACCCTCCACAGACTTCCCTGCAGGGAGCTGCTCTCCACACAACCTGGCTGCGCTTCTGTAAATCAGCTATTGGATCAGTAACAGCCGCTATGCCTAGTCAGTAACCAGTTATCAGTATTGGCTAAGAAAATCTCTATTAATACACCCCTCATATTTTACCAATTGTTATTATGCAAAATAACTTAGATTTTAGACAACATCTTTTCAACAAGTGAATTTTTCAACTAATGTCATAGCCATGGAATCCAACGTGTTACTGTTCATACTACTAATGGTTGAATTTTGTTCCCCAGTACACATTGAATACACTTGTTCAGTGATCAAAGAAGTGACAGAAGTCCAGGGTACTTCAGGCTCACTGGAATTAGAGAAGTATGATCATATCTGCAGATGAAAAGACACACTAGAAGACTGTATATGTCCAACCAAAGGGAATAAATTGAAAAATATACCTGTGTGGAAATACTGCCAATAGCAACATCTTGAGATGGGGGAAGTCACCCACTAAGTTAAACCATTCTATGAATTAGAGAGGGACACCTCTTTCCATATAAAAAAGATGACAGTGGGTGCATCTACACATGGGCTTTACTGTGGAGTTGACTAATTAGGTCCACAGTAAAGTGTCACTGTCTACACATGTGCTGATATTGGGGCACAGTAAACTAATTAACTCCTCCATAAGATAGTACTGTCAGGGACTTAAATGCCTGTCAGGGACAGTACAATCTTATGGTGGAGTAATTAACTGCATGGAAAAACATTTGTAGATAAAGACCAGGTGGAGGCCAGACTCCTGCCTGCCACCTAGCTACATAGCTCTGCTGGTTCTTCACCATCATGCCCCAGCCAGTTCCTCCACCATGCGACACCACCACCTGAAGCCTGGAGCTGAACCCCTGTGCCCCTTGCCAGGCAAGACCTGCTTTACCCCAGTTCAAATTATTGCTGTCCTGGGTACATGTGTAGATACTGTGTCCAGGAGCAATTCACTCGAGCTCAAACAGCTCCAGAGTTTATTGACTTAACATTAATTGCACGTGTGGATGCACCCAGACTTCAGAGCTGACCCGAGCAGGGTGCGGATTCGGGGCAAATCAGCCTATGCGGGGCCTCACCCCCAGTCAGATCTGGACCCTGCACCTTAAGAAGCTGCTGCCACCAATGCTGGCGGCAGCATTGGTGGTGGGGGCAGGGAGGGTAGCGAGCGGCTGTACACAGAGCCGCTGCTCCACCCAGCTCCATGCCACTGCTGCTCCACCCCACTCTGTGGGGCCCCCAAAGCATGGGGCCCAGGGTGGTCACCCCGATTCTCCCCCCCACCCCCCCAGGGACAGCCCTGCACACAGTAATGCCAATGTAAGGATCTGAAGGGAAGGAAAAGTCAGCATACGGACATGAGTACTACTACTAAGAATTATTTTTTACCTGCTGAGGTTCAAAAAACAGAAGTCGAAGAATGTTTCAAAAGCTAGACTCTACAGGCAAAAGCTGTTTTGCACCTTAACATGAAAGACAACAAGATCAAGATTGCTTGCTGTAGTTAGAATAAGAGCAGCATGCTGAGTCCAAATTGACATGAAAAACAGGAAAGCAGAGAATAAACAGAAAAGGGCAGAAGGGTCTCAGAAATGGAAATATTAAACTACGTAGCCTTAGAGAGAGTACCAGTGTGTTGCTGCCACAAAGTGAAGAACTGTCATTCAATCCAGTGATAGGTTTGGAGAGAAGGCAAGGAAATCTTGTAAATGCAAGTTGTCAACGGAGATAATAGACAAATCCAATGAGTGCTTCTTTTTTTTTTCCTTTGGCTAAAAACAAAGAAAAACAAACAAACATATCTTTTATATTGTCAACATGGGGACACTGAAAGCAGATAGGATTAATAGTCTGGATGACTCCAGAGCTATCTGACAAAGAAAATCCATAAATTCATTAAGAAACTTGTGGTAACTTATGGTAGTCTATAAATTGAAATGCTTCTGAAAGGTGGAAAAGTATTACATGCATGAGAGATGGAAGGAAAACAAACTTGGCAATCCATTGATTATGCAGAGATTTTGTTAAGATATTGAAGAAATAGATGTTATACCTGCTCAAATTCTACCCATCAATTAAATATAGTGTATATTACATTCAATGCATCTAGAATAATTTGAATTATAAAATAGCTTTCATACACCACCTGTTTTCAAATCTGTTTAAAAAAGACTATGAGGCACTAGCAGTGTAGTAACAATGATCTTGATACAGGAAAATATTGTGAAATATGAGTGTCAGTCTGTCCCTTTTCTGAACAACATTCACCATGTACTTAAGGCTCATTGACTTTGTTGGGGTTTAGAGTTAAGAACACAATGAAGTGATCTCTGGATCAGATAATCTTTCCTGGTTAAAATCCATGTTGGTGAATGCAAGAGCATACAAAACATACTTTAAAAAATATGTTTCCATTAATTTATTTACAACCCTATGAACACTGGACACTTTGGGTGCAATTCTGCTAAGTGGCATTCATGCAGCTTTTAGGGGGCAGATGTGATTCTATTTCTTAGTGGACTTAGAAACCTTGGTGCCATCTTATTCCACCCTGCTCAGGTCCCTGAAAAAATTGGTAATACAAAATAGCACTGGTGAGGTATTCCTTCTCACTACTGCTTTTTATGACTCAGTGGGCACATCTATATGTGCCACTATGGTGCTGTTGTTACTGCACCATCATTTAGTACTTCCTTTTAGAACTTCATTTAGTACTTCCTGTGCAAAGTTAGTTTTAGGCACCACATCACCATAGTAATGAGCTACAATGGGAGAGTGCATCGCTATGGCAACGTAGCTGCAGCATCACAGGTTTTGTCCGTGGATGATATGTCATTGTAGTGCATTGCTATGGCAATGTAGCATCACATGTAGACACACCTAATTTTGCAGGTAAGATGATGCTGTGTTACGAAAGTAGATGCATTCATAGGTTTTCAAGGACTTAAATTATGGAATAGAATCATACTTAAATGCCTAAGGCCTTTTAGACACCTCATAGGTAGAACAAGATTGGGCCAAAGATATCTAGGTCATGAAAACAACATTCTACTTAATCCTGCCTTACAGCTGGGCCTGAAATCATACTACGCTGTGAAATCATTCAAGATGGCCACCACAGTGCCAAATTCTGTTGATACTGTGTTGTGATTTAGCTTTGCTGTGGGGGTACAGAGGTGGTTAGCTGTGTTAGTCTCAAAGGAACAGAGCCAGACTCAAACCTGCTCTGAATTGCTATGATACCATCTCTATGAAAAGAATTTCTCTGATTGTCACTTAGGGTGGAAACAGGCATTGTCTTTCCTCACCTTTGTGCTTCATTAAAAAATGTATAGAGGCACAAATCAAAAACAAATTGATGTTCATACATTCTGTTGTGCCACAAATGCCCAAACGTGTGGCTGTGACAGAAGGTAGTAATAATTTATGCCAATTCATTGTGGCAGATATCTGTTTGCTTTATGGTGGAAGAGTGCCCAGAGCTCCCTATGCTTTCCAGCTACCTTAGGGACCCAATCCTGCACACCCTGGTAATTCCTGCACAAGATTGGCCCCCTCGAGTCCTGGGAACACCTGCCTGGCTTTCCTTGCTTACTAAGCAGCATTTCCCAGGTGTCCCAGGGCTTGAGGGGCCCAATCCTGTGTGGTAATTCCTGGGATATGAAGAACTGGGTCCCACAAATTCTGGGAGAACATGCCACCTTTTACCCAACAGCATCAATAGACTGATAACAGGCAACGCGTGTTTCACCCAATTAAGTGGAACAGCTGTGCCAGGATGTATCACATCATAGCTGATCTGCTTCATTTGGCAACATTTATTTCTAGCCTTAGAACCTCCAGCTGGAACATATTATTAACAACCTCCAGCCCCTCCTGGAAAATGAGAACTATCACAAATTATCTTTGAGGGACAGGAATGTCCTGGTTTACAGACAGCCCCCCATCCTGAAACAGCAGCAACAAATTATCCAACTTCATTTTATCCAAAATACAATGCTGTGCTGTAGATCCAGATGCCAGTTGTGCCCCTTCCTGAACAAAGACCACATGGTCATTTGTCATCGGTTTCATCAATGAAATAAGAAATACAGACTATAGCACCTATGGTCATTCAACTGTTTCTCCACCAACCTCACATATGTCATCACTTGCCTGCAATACCCCTCTGCTCTCTACATTGACCAGATAAGTCAATACTTACGTAAAAGAATGAATGGATACTGACTCAACATAAGTTTCAGAAAGACACTGAAGCCTGTAGCAGAACACCTGACCTTCTTGGGAAAGGAAGATCTGGAAAGGGTCTTCCCCATGGTTGCACCCCACTTTGGCCATGCTGCATGTGAACTCTCAGCATGGAGTATATCCAGAGCCCCTGCTTTTACAAACCTCTAGAGTTCAGGGGAAGAGTGCTGCTGCCACAGCTCATCCCCTCCTTTTCCCTGCTGTTAAATTTATGATAAAGGGAGAGGGAAGAAAAGGAAAAATAGCAGCAGTGTTCACCCCCTGGGCTCTGGAGCCATGTGAAAGCAGGGGCTCCAAACAGAACCTGCTCTGATCAGCTGGTGAGCTAAAAGCTCACTACCCACATGGAGCTCTGACAAGAGATCACGCTGACCAGGCAGTGAGCTCACGGCTCACTGTGCATGCACACCCACCTTGCTCCTTTCCTGGATCTGCTTGCTTCTTGGGCATTCTGTTGGACCCTGACTCCATGCGGCGCCCAATGACTAGGGAGACGACGATCTATTTGCTCATGGATCCTGTTACTTGTTAGCCAGAGCAAGCAGGGAGCAAACACCAGCACACATTGCTCTCAACAGTTTTATTCAGAATGGAGACAGCTTTGGACAAGGGTCCCAAAGAAACAAACCGGGGACCTGCACTGAACAATAGGTCTTTTCACATGTTATACACCTTGTTTCATACATATTAACATTCTCCTGCCTTTATCCCTCCTCCTGTTCCACCCATTTTTCCTCCCATTTCAAGCACCTCCTCTGTTTACTGTTTACTTCATTAGCATGTAATTGCCTCTGCATTTTCCTTCATTTACATGCCTCTCTGCTAAGAGCGTAGACATAAGGCCATGAACTCAGGTACTCTTGGTCACTTCTGGTTTTTTCTGGTTTGTCTGCTGACTCCAGCAGCCTCTCCAAGGTTTGACTTCTGTTTTATCTCCTGACGATAGCTGGTGGGCTGCATCTTGTTCTTCTTACACAAGGAATCATATATCCTGCACCCTATTCCATTGTTAAAGAAATTACTTGCCTAAGCATTTGCAAGATTAGTTTAATACATCATTCTGCCTTGTGACCAGCAGTTTTGCTGAGATTCAGATTAAAAGCCTTTATTTTGCTGCAGATTCAATGCTCCCCAATAATCCAGATTATTATCACCCTAACACTCCCTCACAGAATTAGAATAGGCAGCAAAAGAGAAACCCAGCCAATTCTCTAGAGGTTATCACCCTCTCCCCACAATATACCCCTCAGGCCTGGCAGGGTAGGTGGTGATTTGTGTTTCTAGAACAGAGGACTAACCTTTTTGCCCATCATTGGAAATAAGTGACAGAGAGTGCTTAGGGAACTTGCTTTCCAGCCTGGGACTGAGCTAGGAACTGGGACAATGGTACCATAGGGTTTTTTGTTCTTTGTCATTGGCATGAATATGCAGCTGAACTGATTTGCTGGGTGCTTGGTGTTATTGTACTACTAGTACCTTTCCATTCTGTAAAAGTCTGGATCAATGTGAATGGTTAGGACTTTTTTTTTTTAATTTGCTGTGGAAACTAGGTATACTGTTTGCACAGGAAAGCCTTGGTTTTTCTTAGGATTTTATCATTTTGCTTTGTGTTCCTAATCTTTGCATAAATTTGGGGAATTAATAAAACCACATTATATCACTATTTCTACTATACAAACTAAAATACATTAATTTTAACACAAACAAAACAAAGAGAAAAAGGAAACAAAAGATGACAATAAAACAAACAATTCAGTCAGCCTTTTTGATCTTTGGCATGGCTGAACTCTGCGAGGTTATGGAAGTGATGTTCTGCATGTTGTATCATTTTTGTAGCTACTCTTTAGGTATTTCATAGCTTATCAAGAAGTTTTGCTTTACAGTTTATAATTCAACATAGTTGACATGACAATTACTTATAATAATAGCATTTTACAGACTTAGTAAAACACAGTCATTACCTATAACACAGTTAAGCTTGATTTGTTTTTGTACTTAGTAAAATTCTTCAGTGATGATTTTATCCTGAAAAATACAAGAACAAAAAGAGAGGGGCTCACCCCTTTTGCTTTAGTTTCTCATACAGTTGTGGCTGGCTTTGCTTGGTTTATAGCCAGGTTGGCACTCATTAAAAAAATGTCTTCTCTTTGCACTTTGCAGAGGCTGCTTTTACAGCAGTGTTTTCCTAAAGTGGCGGGTGTTCCATGCCACGCATTTCTTTTCCTTGCACTAAGGGTTTTCCTGTTGGAGTATGCTTCCCTTAGCTTTTGTTAATGAAGGATAACTCACAAGGAGGTGGGAGCTAGGGTTTAAGGCACTCTATATTTGCCTTTGGCTAGTCCTTAGGGTGGTTATTATGCAGCACTTTGCAGAGCCTACCCTGATACAGGTAGCTTTACTACATTAACCCCATCTAGGAGGGTGGCAGTTTCAGGTTATACTCAGGATTAAACTCTCTACTCTCCTGCTTTGGTTTTCTTCACTTCTTATGGGCACAGTCTCTGACTTCTGGGTTTTTTGTACC